ATTAGGGCAGGAAAGTGGTGGGGACTGGCTTCTCAGAGTTTCAAAGGGGTCTGGTGAAAATTTAGCAGCGTTTTGTTAGGGTTTGAGCAAACTTCTCCCATTGGTCGTGGGAGGTCCTCCATTTATAGAGGAGGCTCTGGTGGCCAATAAGGCATGTCATGGTGGCAAGGCAGCCACTTAGGTGGAGGGAAGAAAGGTTGTGATGGCCAATTGGAGTGAGCCAGCTCAGCTGAGTTGAATTGGGTTTAAGCCATTTGGGCCCTTTCGGGCATGGGATTTTCCGAAGGCTGAGGTGGCTAGCTGGCTAGGATCAGGTCAGCTCTAAGCTCAGAGAAGTCGGGGGGACTGAGTGGTTAGCTCAATTTGGTTTTAAGTAAGCTCCAAGGTGAAGAACCAAGGCAAAAATGGGGTTTAGGCTAAGTGAGCGTAGGTTGGGTTTAAAATCTTGGTCAAGTGGCTAGGCTTGGTCCAAGGTGGCAAGGGTGTGTGGACTGACCCCATGGAAGGTTTGGGTGAGGTCAAATGGTTGGCTTAGTCATGAGGCAAAGGGTTAGATATATCACGAAGAGGGAAAGTCCAAGTGAAGGAGGGAGATGGAATGGTCACCTCCTTCTACCATTTTTGGCAATTTTGACTTTATGTTTCCATGGACGACTCCATGAGATGTCATGCTATGTATGAGCCCATGGAAATGTTTCATGCGAAAGAAATTTAGGATTTTTTATGCATTTAAATGAGAAAAGTCAACATGCCCAATTTTGGACAAAACCTCCGGTGTATGCATGGTATGGTTGTCATGATGCCCATGATGAACCCTTAAATTAAAAGAGGATTATGAGAAAGGGATTTTATGTCATGTGGGCTTAATTTGAGCCTTTTAAAATCAATGTCATGAGCTTTGAAAATGCATATAGTTGATTTTGGCTACGTTCCCTTAGGAACTTATAATGGAAAGATAATTGATTTTGGCTACGTTTTTATTGTCTATAGTGATCACATAACTAACAACAAATCTGTAAATTTCAATTCCCATGACAATCCTAAAATCATACGAAAACCTGATGATCTCGTCGATATGGCTAAGGAAAATCTTCACAACGTGGACTACGATAGCTCAGATAGTAAAACACCTATCCTCAAATTCCAAGGAATGCTAATTGCAATCGAGTTGGAACTATCAAATAAGGAGACAGTGTTAGGAGAGCCAGTCGTCACTCCAAAAGATGAATCTTTGGGTCCGATTCAAGGGACAGAACAAATAACAGAGGTAAAAATTTGGAGTGAGAAAGTCTTGCCTTCGAGAATGGTTCCAAAAGACAAAGGGAACAAATAGTTGTTCAAGAAGAGTCAACTCCATTGGTGGAAGAAATGTCAACATGGGAAGATCACTAAAGAATAAGTGACAAAATAGAATATAAATATTATATTATCTTCGAAAGTTGCCAGCCAAACTGAATATCTATGACGCTCTGATCATATCAAAGAAAATAAGAGAAGCTCTAGTCATGGCCTTGTTTCATCTAGATATTTGCTTAGCTCAATTGGCTAGTAGCTCCTTAGACGAGGTTTGTTCATTGAAGGAGCATTTCGGTGTCACTTTCACGAATGATGACTTGTTACTTGGCACAACTGATCATAACCAACCACTCTGCATTTAAGTTAAGATTGACATATTTACACTTTTCAGGGTGTTAGTTGATCAAGGGGCGTCAATTAATATAATGAATCTATGGAAGTTAGCCTACTTGGACATCAACGCTCACAAGCTCTCAACCAACAAAAAGATGTTAAAAGGATTTAACCAAAAATGGGAGAGAGCTCTCAGATCGATAATACTATTGATGAGAATTGGTGATCTAGTAACAACTGCAAAAATCCACATCATCAACTCAGAAACTTCGTTCAATGCCTTACTTGGTCCACCCTAGATTCATGAATACAAGATGGTATTGTCGTCTCTACACCAGTGTATAAAGTATTATGAAGGAGGACAAGAGCATTGCATCAAAGGAGATCTACGACCATTTTTTCATAAAATTGGTATTCACGAAGAGGCAGCTTACTACGCTCCCCCGAAGAAAACAGTTTTCTCAAGAGACGTCGTGCCAGAAGAGATTAAAGATACGAAAGAATTGCAAAAACGGGACCAATCGGCTCCGATTTAATGGTCTTTTACCATCGCTTTGCAATAAGACGACAGAAACTCTTTTAGCCCTCACATCTGAGATCAAAGTTGAGGATGAGGGCGAGGAAGAGTTAACAAGACTATTGAATGGAAGGATCCAATCATTAAAATCGACCAGGAGGACAGCTCTGAGGAGGAAAGGACAAATAAGAATGCAATGACAGTATGTCAAAAGAAGCCTCAACTAGAGATCTCTTTGGACGAAGAAAAGGAAGATGAATACAAATCGATGTATGAATAAATCAACCACTATGTACAAACTACGATCTTAACCCCGATTCATTCTCATAAAATCAAGTGTTTGGAGGTCAAGGAGGTACAAAGTGCAGGCATGAAACCAATAAAAGTTTATCATGGTTCTTCTTCTTCTAATTCTGAAATCAATGTAAAATTAGAAGAGAAAACTTCAAATGAATTAATGGAATTACATTTTAGCTACTACTCTCCATATGTTCAAAAGCTTATTCGGCATGGTTTAGTGTCCGCTCAGTTATCGAAAGAAAGGTTACACCTCTTCGAGCAAATATGGAACACTAAAAATCAGAATGTTAACTTGAAAGAAGGTGTTGAATTCAACACAGTAAGGCCAACCGATGATATGAAATTTTGCTTGGTTGTTACTAGTGAAGCAGAAGAAGAGTGTCTTAAAGCAGATGAAAACTTAGAAGAATCTTACATAGAGGATTCTCCGCCATAATTTGAAAAAGAGATCAAGTCAACAGTTGATGAATTAAGGGAATCAACCTGGGGACTGAAGATGACCCTAGACCCACTTTCATCAGCTCATTATTAGACAATGAAGAATCTTAAAAACTAATTAATTTATCGTCAGAGTTCAGGGATTTCTTTGCGTGGAGCTACAACAAAATGCAAGGATTTTCTCCTGAGATTGCAGTTCACAGACTGTGAGTGGATCAGAATATGGCCTCAGTCAAACAGGCTCCGAGAAGGATGTGCCTCAAATTAGAGCAACAAGTCATCATCGAGATTAAAAAGTTGATAGAGGCTAACTTTGTAAGAGAGGAGCAATATCCAGCATGGTTAGCCGACATAGTACCAGTTAGGAAGAAGAATGTCTAAATTCATATTTGTGTCTATTTCAGAGACCTGAACAAAGCATGCTTGAAGGACGAGTTCCCGTTGTAAATTTTTCTTTTATGGATGGATAATTCGGATACAACTAGATCAAGATGGCACCAGAAGATGCGACACTTACAGCTTTTCAGAACGCCGATCGGGATCTATTGCTACACAATGATGTTGTATGGGTTGAAGAGCACCGGAGCAACCAATCAGAGAACCATGATTAGAATTTTTTATGATCTCATCCACAGCCAAGTAGAGTGCTACGTGGATGATTTAGTTATCAAAAGTAAACAACGAGAAGATCACATGTATGATTTGAGGATTGTCTTCGAACGATTACAATAATTTAATCTTAAAATGAACCCCTTAAAGTGCGTCTTTGGTGTCACCTATAAGAAATATTTAAGATTTATTTTCCATCATCGTGGGATTGTAATCGATCTTGAGAAGATTAAGCTATCTTAGAAATGTCACCACCTAAAACCTTGAAATAACAACGATCCTTTCAAGGGAAATTGACATATCTAAGAGCACCTGAGAGAAGATTAAAACTATCTTAGAAATCTCAACTCCTAAAAGCTTGAAACAACTACAATCCTTCAAAGGAAATTGGCATACTTAAGAGCACCTCTGATTACCTCTACCATCTATTCCTTGAGCTTATTGATCTGTTAAATCACAAACTCATGGGTACAAGTCCTGTTGTCGATTATTTCCCAAGAACGAGTTTCTTCTCTTTGAGTAACTCATCATTTTGTTTGCGAGATAATTTTACGCTCACCGTACATTTTAGGGTGTTGAAACCATATTTTTTCTTGAATTACACCTAATAATAGAGCGTAAGTAAAAATGGCAGCAATGACAAACTCCCAGAAAACATAGACTCTAAGAGAGTTAAATTAGTAATTTTTTAGTGCTCCAATTTCCCAAAAGTCTCATTTTGCACGTTATTGTTCTCATATTTATAATAAATAGAAGTTGCATTGTGAAATATCAATAATGCCCTTAAGATTCTTTATTGTCAGTTGGTCACCGCAACTGTCAAGATCGTCGTTACTTTTATGAATCCTACCTTATCAAAGCGTTGTTTCACTCGCTCCTATGATGGTGAGTCATCTATTTATTTATTCGATCAACCTCTTCGGCTCAGTCGGCCGGATGATTTGCTCTGTCGGCTGAGGGCTCTTTTGCTTGTTGTGATTGATTCTTTGACATTTATTCTGTCGAGGACCATCAGATCTGATTCTAAATATTTTTATCATACACATAAAAAATAACTATTTTGTCTGACACTTAAGGTCTATTTGAGACAACTTTCTGCTTATTTGTGATTCAAACTGCCACAATAGTTCTATTTTAGGCAACCGTTTTCTTGATAATTTCTAAAATTTGTGATCGGAAACTACTTTTTTTAACATAACCCTATTAAAATACAATAATTGTAAGAAAGATGTTAATTTTTTTAATATATATATATATATATATAAACACACACACACACACACAATACTTTTAAAAAATTAACAATAATGATATTTTTTCTACGTTATAAAAATTTGACTTTTATAAATATAAAAAAAATTAAAGTAATAAATATGCAAATTCGAAGAATCGAGTGGGTGAGTGGGAAAATGACCCTTCTAAGAAAAATGAATCCGAAATGATCATGGATGCATGACGATAGCAAATGACATCAAGCAAATGACGCAGTACTCCAAACCCCACCCTTCAATTTCCACGCGTTCCTCTTTTCCAAGCAGCTTCCTTTGTCTCCCTTAAATTTATTCCACATCCACACACCACATTCTCCCTCACCAATAAAATCCAAATCACCAAAGCCGCCTTCTCCAGCCTCCAAGGAAAGAACTGAAACAGTGCTAATAAGGAATGGGCTCTCAAGAGGAGGAGATCCTTTCGCCGCCGAGCTGGAAGGACTCGGCCATGAAAGAGCTGGCCCAGGGGCGGGATTCCCTCGTCAAGCTTGCTTCTCTGCTTCAAATTGGTTCGTCGGAGAATAATCGGCCGGAGAATGCGACGGCGACGGCCGGTATTCTTATTGAAGAGGCGATAAGCGCAATTTATAGAGCAATGAGTGCGGTGGAATCTGCAGGGGAGAAGATGGAGGTAAATCTAGCGGTTGATTCTTCCAGTGCTACGAGTAAGGATGTAGGAGGAAAGAGGAAGACGCAGACTTCAAGGAAAGCAGGTTACAGAAGAAGGTAATTGAACGTATCGGCCATCCCCTTCTGATTTTTTTTTTTCTTTTTTTTTTGGATATATTTGAGGAAATAGATTTTTTAATTTTTTTCTTGAGCCGAAGAGTTTTTAAAATTCATTTCATATTAAGAAAATTGATTAGCAATTTTTTTTTAAATTTAGATTTCTAATTATATTTCCAATTGAACTTAGTGGGTTTACCCTAGGAGCTTAAGTCTGGTTGAACTATTGGCCTTATTGTTTTGAACAATACCTTTAATTTTTTTGGGGAGTTTTTTTGCCCTGCTTTGATACTTAGCATAGCCTTTGTTTCTATTTTTCAAGCATTAATTGAGCGATTGTATTATTATAAGAATTTCCCTTTTTTTTATTTCTTTTGGCTTGCAGAAGTAGCCCATATTTATGGAGAAGGATTACTTCAAACAAGATTGATGATGGGCATACATGGAGAAAATATGGGCAAAAGGATATCTTCAGTGCCAAATACCCAAGGTAAATATACTGGCATGAATGTAAAAATTGAAGTGTATGTGTTAAAAATGTAAATACATAAGAATTAAGTGGCATGAATGTAAATCTTCCATTTTAATTGCGTGGAATCAAACGATGAAATTTAACAAATTTTACTCCCAAAAATAGACAATAAATACCTTAAATTATCTTTCATTCAATACTTGCAACTCCAGCAAAATGAATCATTTAGCAAATCCATATGCGCTCGCAGAAGCTATTTCAGGTGCACGCACAAGTTCGATCAAGGTTGCAAGGCCTCCAAGCAGGTGCAGAGATCGGAGGACGACGACTCCTTGTTCGTCATCACCTACTTCGGCGACCACACATGCGTCGACCCGAGCAAGGCCATGATTCCTCCTTCCAGAGAGCTCTGCGTCATTAGCTTCGAATCCAGCAACGGAGAAAATGTGGAAAAAGGGACTCCGTTTTCTTTCCCATCGCTCAATCAAGAAGGCGAGGAAGAAGTTATCAGCAATCTCACCTCCGCCGATTCGGCTTCGGACTACTTTGTTTCGCCTGAGAATGAGCTGGAACAATCGGCGCTGGAGCAAAATGGATTACCAGCAGCGCTGTACTCATCCTTCATGAGTTACGGCACGGACTTTATGGACGATGAGAATTTTTTGAATTTTGATCATACAGATATGTTTTAAGTTTTGCTAATGTGTATAGATAGTAGAGACGGGTTTTAGCATCCTGTTTTATGTCTGGGTTAGGCTTTGAAGTTACATTTTGATAAATCTTCACAGTGATTTCTGTAAAGTATTAGTTTATAGCTAATGTTAAGTTTCAGAGTTTTGTGATTGTCAGGATGAGTTGTAAGATCCTGCTTACCTATCAAAATAAAACATCTTTCGTGGCAGACAACAAATTTGGGATACTTTGGCATGCAATAAGGGGTTGAACAGCTAAAAATCTTGTATTATTCCCGTAAAGTTAAAATATCACATTAAATAAACTCATTGAAGTACTTGCTTTAATAACCTTTTAAACATTCTTAGAAACTATGGGGACGTTGATGTGATAATTCATGATGAAATAGAGCTTGCAATGGTGAGGTGATTCAGTTCATGTTTAAAAAGAGAGCTTTATTATCAACATTAACAGTGAAATTCTATCATCTGCAAAAAATTTACAGGAAAAGAATGGCCATGCATCTGCATGTTGTCCCAAAACGCCTATTAGGCTTCACGCAAGTTCAAGATCATGGCAATTATTTTCTCGAGTTTTCAGTGTTTCTTTTAAAAAAAAAAGAAAGAAAGAAAGAAAGAAAGAAAACTTCCTCGGCCGAATTTGCTTTAAACTTCTTCAACCTGAAATTGAACAAAGCATCAGGCAACCAAAAGAAACAAAGCTCTCTCAGGCATTGGGTGGGCTATGAAGTTATAGGAATATGCTGCTGGTCAGATCATCAATATTAAAAACAATGCAAATTATTGAATGAAAATGATATGATATTATTAGATAATTAGCTTTTGTATTAGGTTAACAAAATAAGTTAATTAGTTAGAAATTAGTATTATTAATTTAATCATCTTGTACATTATAAAATAGCTCCAGTTAGAGACATTGAAGGAGATGGAAAAATGAGACAAGCTTCTCCTCATTCTAATGATATGATATTATTAGATAATTCAGTTTATATTAGATTAATAAGATAAATTAATTAGTTAGAAATTAATATTAATGATTTAATTAATCTTGTGTATCTAAAAATAGCTCTAGTTGGAGATATTGAAGGGAATGGAAAAATGAGGAGCTTTTTCCTATTCTTTGTTTCTTTTCTTCTCCCCTTCATACAAGTTACTAGAGTTATGGTATTCTCAAATTGCATCTATCTGTGTCTGTTGTTTTTTATTTTTTCTTTTCTTGTATTTTGAAGTTGTAGACGCCCTCAAATTACCGTTTATCAAGATTCTAAAAATGAAATTATATCATTGGTGCTTTCATTCTTTCTCCTTATCGCAAAGCACCTCAGCTTCGCAAGATCTAGGCATCAATCCATCCAAGATCCTTCTCGCACCAATCCATCCAAGATTCTATTCGCAACAAAAAACACAATTCTTGATACATCTCAACAATCTCCAATCCATAAAGTGTGTTTCAACATCTCCTTCCCAAAACTTCTCCTTCCTACAAATCTCCAATTTGCAAGATGCATCACAATGACTCCTACACGTGGATTTTGCCATGGAAGGAAAAATATCCGACTGTCTTCCTCAACCAAGAAATCAAACCAAGAAGCACATACTTGCCAAAAAATTCAACCTTGGAGAGCAGTTTCTTCTCTTTCTGCATGCCGGTTTCTCACACCAATCTGGTAATCAAAAGCTGGAGCTTTGAAATATCCAGGTTTATAGTTCTTATAGTTTGAAAATCATAAAAATAATGACATCCTTCTTGGGGTCTACACAGCCGTGCTTGCCATTATATCAATATTTTTTTTTGTCTGGTCATATTTTAGAAAATAGTTCACAAAAAAGGAAAAAACCTCCGAAATCACACTTCCAAAACCTCCTGTTTCTACTCAGAATTCTTCCATCTCAAACGCATTAGTAGGATTTCATAGGTTCACTTACCGTGAAGTTAACGCTGCCTCATACATTGCAATCAATCAGAACTACTTGGCAGAGGACGATATGCTCCAGTCTATAAATCCATCTTGCACGTATCAGTCTATATGCACTGAAGAAATTCGATCAGAGTGCTTGACGCAAGTTCATCTCCGGAGGATCCTCTCAGTTCAATCTTCGCCTTTTTTCATCATCATCCACCTTCCCATTCTTATCTACAACTTGCTCAACCATGGGGACAAAGTCATTTTGAAGGAATGGAAAATGGTATGATATTATTAGATAATTAGTTCTTGTATTAGATAAATAAGAGAAGCCAATTAGTTAGAAATTACTATTAATGATTTAATTATAATTGTATATTGTCAGGATTCGATCCGGAGCTTAGAATTAACCAATGTGGGAATAAAGGATCAAATTGTGAGAATTAAATTTTCTATTTTAATTTTTTATAACTAACATTTTAATAAATGAAATAGCTGTTGTATAAAAACATATATTAAAGTTGTACAATTGAATTTATCTAATTATTGGTTGCTCGTGTCTTCTATAAACATTTCTTCTTCTATCGCTTATCTTTTATATCACTTAATTAAACTTGAAATGTTAGTTTAAAATAGCAGTGAGCTAATTATAGTCATTAAATATTCATACTCATAAACTATAGCAACACAATGTCAAAAAAGATAATTGGTATGGCAATTAAATTTTAAGTAAATCAATCTAAGAGCATGTGAAATATTTTACTATCTAATATGATCATTCAATATAATTTTAACAATCACTATATCTTACAATATCGTTCACATATCAATATATTTTTAATATATATACAACCGTTAGTAAAGCATCATCTAAAGTTATATCATTTAATATATTTTCATATCAATATCCTTTTTCATGTACGTGCACATGTACCTTAGCGTTCTTCCGCTAGTACTATAAAAGAGTGACTCTATCATAGCCAAGAAGGCACAAGCAAGAATACTATGAAAATCACTATCTAATAATATTTATTTCATTCTCATTAGCTTAACAACCAATATATTTGTATAACATTCAATAATTATGAAAAAAAATTAATTATACATCTTCCTACAATATGAACAAAAATTCAATAGAAATCAAGAGTTTGCTGTGATTTCAATATAATTAGTGACAGTAAATGCACTTGGTCTTGAAGAAGTAGAAAGATTGCTATAGCACAAGAACGTGAGTCTCACGTAGCTTTCAGGTGATTTTTACTTACTTTAAAGTTCTAAACTCTCTTCTACAATAAAATACCTATCATCAATTATAAAGTATTGTTATTGTTAAATTAACTAAATGATTTGTCATTATTTATAATTGAAATATTTAATTTACAACATTTTATGAAATTTGATACTAATATAAATCTATTTAAATCCATCACTTATTCAATGTAGTATTATTAAATTATCACTACAATAATTTAGTATTTAGTTGTTAAGGATGTACAGTTTATTTTATTATCAAAATATGACATTAATTTATTTAAAAGTAAAATAACTCTTAATTTAGGTTTTACCTAAATAAATTCTTCTTGCTAGTACTTCTGCCTCACGCACATAAATGAGCCCAAGGTCCTTGCTGGTTTTCATAACCTAAATTAACAAAATTTCATATTAACTTTATCTTAAGTGTTTAATCAACATAAATTAGATGCATAATGGAAATTTTATCTCAATTCTTCTTATTGCAAGGTCAACAATTCCTTTAGGATCCTTTTTGACCCCTCATTTATTGTTGTTGATTCTTTCTCCCTACTTTAAAATTTTGATTAACAAAACAAAATCCATATAAATTCTTTAAATGCAATTCCATTAATATAAATAAAAATCTAAATAACATTAAACCCTAACATTTATCTTAACTATCCTGATATCTTTCACAAATAATAACGTCCATCTTCCCCCAAATTTGAGACTTTGTAGCTTCGATCCTGATTTCAAGTGTACTTAAATTTAACATTTAAAAAATAAATTATATATATATATAGATTTTTAATTAAAAAACTTAATTGAAAGATTAAATCATACCCCATTAACTCCTTAATATATCGGTCAAGCACTCTTACACACACACAGAGCACCTCTTCCTCTGTTAAGGCTCGGTTGAGCGAGATAGGCTTCACACGGCAGGGAAAAACTGCAATAACCTCCCTCCTCCTTAGGCTTCTTCTCCTCCTTCGTCTTCTTAGTGTGTGTAATTGCTCGAGCAGAAAGTTCAATACTCCAGATAGCGCCTATGCACCCACTAGTATGGCGAAGTACAAACTTGCATGCGTCTATCTTCCTGCCTTGATATGCGTCAATCGGCTCCCCATGTAATCCTTTCACGATCGGAGTCGGCGTCTGCTACGAATTCTCTAGATCTCGCCTCCGTCTCACATTGATTTATAGAATGAACTCACCCCCTGAGTTCCCGACTCCTCGCTTCATCTCCCTCTCATTGACTCCCTCGAGGAGATGACACAATGCGTTAAAATCTTCCCCACTTATAAAAATTGTCCTCAAAATTTATAAGCAGACCACAAGTCATCTCTCATTAAGCAGGTCAACATTAACTATTCATATATTTTATGATGAAAACTAAGCCATTCATTAAGATGAAAAGTAATCACTGTAAAGTAAATACCTGATACAATGCGGCTCAACTAGACTCTTAGCAACAAAATCAAGATAACAATATATGTAAAATAACACAGTTACTGAAGCAAGAATATATGCTAGGAAAACACACATATGTAAGAAAAATTCAAACTCATCAGACCTTATCACCATCAGGAGGAGTAGATTTTTCAGGCTCACTATGAGTAAGAGAATAAACACGAAGTCAAACAGGTTGTCTTGGTTGAACTTAGGTAGGAGCTACAACAACAACAATAGACTTTTATCTCACTAAGTGGGTCGGCTACATGAATCCTTTTTCTCCATCCTGTCTGATTGAGTGTCATATTTTTATCTAATTCTAATAAATTATGATCATTTTTATACAATAAGCCCAAGTCTTTATAGGACTACCTCTGCCTTTCTTAACATAAGTCGAATCTAAAACATCTACTCTCCTAA